AAACATGAAGAATATATTATATTCAATATATTCAATAAATAGGGGCTTAGCATATCTTATTAATGAATGGCCCATGAGAGGTGGAACAGGATGGCTAGTGAAATGGCAAGCTGGCTGCAAGCTTGCTAACTTGAAAAGTTGGCGAAGTAAACCAACTAGCTACAAGCCGAGATCTCTAGAGTAGATTCAAAATGATTAACATGGCTTTAGGAGGCTAAGTGCTAGTGTTTTAGATTTCTTTTTAGTTTATTGTATGCTTGTTCTAATAGACTACAGCCCACAGGGCCTCCACGCTACTTTTATTAGGTGACATCCTTGAATGTCTCACCTAACTTCATGGGTCACCTTGGCTATTATATTGAAATATTTCAAGGTTTTCCTCATTTTAACTATTCAACTAGACTTGAGCTCGGTTGTCATAAGTATGAGCTCAAGTAGTTGAGTTCATCCAAGGGTGTTTACCTCATCCAAGGTAGTTCACCTTGGAATGGGTTGGCATGAGGATGAGCTCAAGTAGTTGAGTTCATCCGAGGGTGTTTACCTCATCCAAGGTAGTTCACCTTGGAATGGGTTGTTGGCATGAGGATGAGCTCAAGTAGTTGAGTTCATCCGAGGGTGTTTACCTCATCCAAGATAGTTCACCTTGGAATGGGTTGCCATGAGGATGAGCTCAACCAAGTTTTATGAACTTGTTTAAGTTCCATGAACTTGTTTAAGTTCCTAAGTCAGCACATGAAGTTCCTGTTGTTAAAGTTCAAGGCTGACCATATTATATGATAAGGATACAGATATATACACATATATATATCTTAAGCTTAGTATCACAGTTAATAATTGTAACTGAAGTAAATTATGAAGTTGCACGTTTTAATCATAGGTTCCTATTAGAAGTCATAATAGATGACTCTTCTCCCCCCTTACCCTGCACATTTGGGGCTGCTAAACATAAATGTTGTAATCATAAATTACACTATTTGCATTTTTATGCTTGAACATGTCCAATAAACAAGGAGTCATGCATGTGGTAATAAAAAGTCTTTCTAGCTTGTAAATATAAGAACAAAAATTGGACATGCAAAATCACTCATAAAAATCTTAAATGTGCAAAGTAATTTTGAAATTTCTAATATATAACACTTACTTGACTTGCAGAGCAAAATTAATTTATACTTGAGAAAGAATTGTTCTTGATAAGGTAGAAACTCGAGAAAGAATTTAGCTTCTTACGAATGATGTTAACTCCTTCTTGCCGTGACTCAAGAGCAAATGTGGAGAGAAAAAATGTAGCCTCTCATAAATGATGCCAGAGAAGAAATTTACTTGATCATCTTTGTAAGCTATTGAGCTTTATGGTTAGGGCCCGTAGCCTTTTAAAATTGGATGAAGGAGTTGTTCATAGCTCCTATATAATGTTGATGGAGGAGCTCACCATAAAGGGATTTCTCTAGAACCCACTTCACATGGAGTCCCTGCACTTTTCCATCTCTAAAATAGCAACATATATTTATAATCATAAGTGCAAATGAGCAAAGTAGCATGATTATGATATAAAAAATGAGATGGCAAAATGATATTATGAATGCAAAAACAAGTGCAGAATGAATGGAAAAATGTGGAATGAATGTAAAGAATGGAAAGCAATTAATAATAAATTTTAATAAAATTGGACCAAAGCTCTAATTTGCTGCGGAGCTCAATTGGTTTCTTGACAACTTGTATCACAAGGACTTGAAAAGAGGAGAAATTAAAGCATCCAGTCTTATAATCAAGAAAATATATTGTGTAAAATAAATAAGAGAAAAAGATTGTGAGTTCAACTTTGTTAATTTTCAAAGCAATACATGACTAATTAATTAAATTTATATACATATTAATGTAGAATCTATGCCTTGATATTATTGATATTTGAATGAGTTGTATGAAAATTTACGTAATTGTATATAATATTCATTCTATGTAGAAAAGGATTTAATTAGAAGATGTCATAATTCTTAGGAATAAATTGCAAAGATATGAAATTTGAGGATTAAATTATGCAGAATCCAAAAGTAAGGGGTCGAGACTGTAATTTTACCGTTAACAAAATTTGCAGAGAAGGACAAAAACCCGATACGGACTCTTCAAGACGAATGCAGGAGAAGTGTCGGCACCTTGTTGAGGGTGTTGACACCTTGCAGCTCATGCTGCATATCTTTCAACTCATGCTCGTCCTCTGCACCTCGTGTTCAAGTTCTGCACTTCATGCTCGGCCTCTGCAGCTCGTGGCTGACCTTGGCAGTAAGTGTTTGACCTCTGCAGCTCGTGCTTGAGTTCTACGCTTCGTGTTCGACCCCTGCACTTCGTGCTCGACCTCTGCAACTTGTGTTTGAGCTCTGCAGCTTTTGCTCAACCCCTGCACTTCGTGCTCAACCTCTGCAGCTCGTGCTTGAGCTCTACAGCTTGTGTTTGAGCTTTGTAGCTCATTCTCAACCCCTGCACTTCGTGCTCGACCTCTGCAGCTCGTGTTTGAGCTCTGTAGCTTGTGTTTGAGCTTTGTAGCTCATTCTCAACCCTTGCACTTCGTGCTCGACCTCTGCAGCTCGTGTTTGAGCTCTGTAGCTTGTGTTTGAGCTCTGCAGTTCGTGCTTGACAGCTTGTGCTATACAACTCGTGCTCAGCAGCTCAAAAGATCTTGCCCGAGTTCTGCATCGTGCTTGTGAGCTCGGCAACTCGTGCTTTTGAACTCAGCAGCTCGCAGCTCATGTTCTTGCAGTTCGCTTCTCATGCTCCTGCAATTCCCAGCTCGTGTTGCAACAGGGACTTTACAGCTTGTTATTGTCAAATTTCCACGGGATAATAACTCCAAATGACTTGCTCGTTATAGCTCATTATTCACAGCTTTATTGGCAAAATTTTCAAGCCTCCAAATGGTTCGGTGATGCTACGTGGGCGGTTGAATGCCTCTGCTCTCAACTGAGCATGAGATGAGACTACTGGCTTCTCAGAGTAGCATGTGTGTTCCCGGTAGTGGTTTAACTGTCATCTTGAAGGGTGGTGTCCAGTACCTCCAGAGCTTCCATCTCTAACACTACCATCAGCGTTTTTTGTCATTGGAACCATAGTCTTTTGCTCCCTAACAGCTGATTGGAGGGATTTAATTTATTACTGGCAAGCTGCCTAGTCAAGACTTATCCCTTGGATTCTGCAAAAACAAATTCAAAATAGAGGGAGATTCCAACTTGCTTTACAACAAAAGAAAATAAAACAATATATAAGAAATATAGTGAAATAATAAAAGATTAAGATTATCTCCCTAATAATCACAAAGTGGTAACCAAACTCAAATGGTTTATTGCCCAAGGAAGGTGCTTGTGGTTGGAACTCGCATCTTCCCAGTGGTTTCATAGAGTGTTGTTAATTTGTTGCAAGTATGGGCTAACCATCATCATATTATGTTGATTGCTCGCGTCTTCTTCAACGAGCTTCGTTACAAATTTGCTCGGTGCATGCCGCCGAGCTTAGAGACTGCTTTGCTGCTATCGAGCTGGGTTACTTGGCTGCTGCCGAGCTGGACTGCCTTGCTTCTGCTGAGCTGGAGTACTGTTGAGCTTTGCCGCTGCCGAGCTAGACTGTTTTGGTGCAGCGAGCTGGGCCGCTTTGTTGCTGCCGTGCTTGGCTGTTATTCTGTTGCCGAGCTGAACTGCTTTGTTGCTGCCGTGCTTGGCCGCTTTGCTGCTACCGAGCTGGGCTGCTCTGCTGCTGCCGAGCTGGAGCATTGCTTTGAACTTTGCCGCTGCCGAGCTGGACTGCTTTGATGCTGCCGAGCTGGGTTGCTCTATTGCTGCCGACCTGAACTGCCTCGCTTCTGTCGAGCTGGAGCATTATTTTGAGCTTTGCTGCTGAACTGGGTTGTTGTGCTGTTGCCGAGCTGGGATGCTCTGTTGCTGCCATCAAGCTCGAACTCATCTTCTCATTAAGGGCAATAACGCGCCTTTTGGCTGAGAGGTGAGGCTGCAGTTCTTCATGAGCAGAGGACAATGGTATTCGAGCATCTCGGACTATGACAAGGTCGGAAGGCTTAAGGCGTTGGCGGATGGCGCAGGTGGTGGCAGCCATGTGGCCGGGGAACCAATTGATGGCTCCACCGTCTTTGTTGAATGCCATCTCCCCCAACTCAACATTTGTGAGATTTGACCCTTTTTTCTTTTTTCTTTTTTTTGACTACTTTGACTTGCCTTAGGCTTTGTGCTTTGCTGACACCTTTTTTCCCTTCTGAAATATTTATTGCTAACATTGTACCATACATACTTTTTATTTTATTAAATAGAACCTTGATAGTTGTGCAAACTACTCACCTGTTTATCTTCTTGTGAAAGCTTCTCTTTTTTACAAGCGAATAAACCCATTTTCTAAATTTATCAAATCTATTTTGTGAAAACTTCTCTTTTTCACAGGCGAACAAACTCACTCTATAAATTCATCAGATCTACTTCTGCAACTCAAAAGAATAGGCAAATTCATCAGATCTACTTCTGCAACTCAAAAGAATAGGCAAATTCATCAGATCTACTT